TTGTCAAGGAGATTTGTTTAAGTAAGATGTCTTAGATAGTAAGATATTTTGTAAGGGTTATTATGGAAATAGAATCTCTTATATAAACCAAGTAATTTGGGGAACATAAGTGCAACAAATGTAAATGATAGGTTTTCTAATTTTCCCTTGGTGTGAGTTTACTTGCGCATCCTGAGATCTTCCATCTCTAGGATATCGAGTTTAGGGCCTCTTCTTGGATTGTAAGTGTCTTAACTGTCCGTGGTCCCTCTTTCTGTACTCCTAATAAATTATCCGGGTCTCCTCTCTTTCTGGCTCTTTGGTCTTTTCTGGCTTACTTTTCTTGAGTACGCAGTCCAGTGACACCCTTCCCATCTTCACTCTGTGTGGCATGCAGAGACCCTTCCTTCCTCGCTGTCTGTGCTTCCCTCTGCAGCATTGACCACCTTTGTGGCTCTGACTTGGAGTCAGCCTCTTGCGCAGGATGGTCACACTTCAGTTGTCCCTTCTTGCTACTTAGAGGTCTTCCAGGCAGTTACTTAATGGCCCCTGTGTTTTGTAGCTTTTCATGACGACCCACACCCTGCATCCCCTGACTCCCAGGCCCTCCTGCCCTGCTCCCTGTGCTCCGGCCGTCACCTCTTCACTCGTCACAGCTCTTTCCAGTCCTGCTTTTTCCTGGTTCAGAGGGAAAGCTGTCCCATTTCTTTCCAAAATGGACTTTCCAGTTTCTAAATATATCCACTCCTGCCTGCTCGAGACCTTTATTTAGCCGTTTGTCTCTTGTCTCTTTCATCATCTCAAATATGCTTCCCTATCAACTCCTCTTCTATTTACAAATTCGTCTGTGCTTTCCATGTCAAAAATTATTTTAGAAGAAAAAAAAAACCCGAATTCTGTGTCAGATCATTTTTTTATTTTTAAGTTTCTATTCAATGCTCCAAAAGTCAGAACCCACCACAGCCTAACAACCCACTTCATGGTGTTGAAGAGTTCAGAGGTTCTTCTTAGTTCCAGGTGCTGTGACTTGATGTGGCCCTTGATGTCCAGCCTGGGACAGGACATGTCTAGACAGCGTGTGCCGTGACAGCCCATCGCTTGGCCTGTTATAATTCTTCGAGGTCAGCTCCCTTCTTAGTTAGCTCTCCTCCCTGACCGTCGGGTCTTTTTTCACTTCTGAGAGTCTCATTGTATCTTCTTGGGGTTGGCTGTGCCATGAACTCACCCGAGTCAGTGTGAAGCCACATGAAGAGGATACTTGACAGCGAGGTGTCTCTTCTCTTACCCAGTGCCCCGCCATCTTGTCTTGTTGTTGTAGGGAATGTAAGAGTATCCTAAGCAAGAACAGAGCAGGCCGTAGAGAACCCTCCTCCAAAAGGATCCATGTATTTTCTTCCAACTTGTCTAGAAAGTAAACTATACTCGGGTGGACTGAACTGATCGGTGCAAAGCCGTGGAAGATAGAACTGAGACTTAGGGAAGTGCCTGCTGGACCTGAAAACATAGTAATTTAAAAGAGCAAGCTCCAGACTGCCCAGTTAGCCCGTGGTAAAGTTTCAGAGTCTAAGAACATCTGTTATTCTCTTTAACCAGGGTCAGCAACAGTCCTGCTGCTTGTGTATGCAGCCTTTATGTAGAGACCACCTGATGACTCAAGACTTGAGTAGGTTTTGCTGACACTGTTGTCACCATGCCAACCAGGTGGAGAGAGTAGAGGTTGTGCTCTTCTTACCACCCTAGTAGAGCCTCAGCTGTGTCAGTTTGGCCTGGGGAACAGGGAGGACCAGGAGAGACCATTCCTGCCCCAGTGTCTGGAGCCCTGTCTCTCTGTCCTCCACCAGCTCTAACTGACCTTAGATACTTGAGTTTCTTCTCTTCTGGAGACTTGAAAAATAACAAAGGTGTCTAAAAATAATTAGCCAGGAAGGAAACACGTGTAGAAAAACCATGCATGTGCCTGGGGGATGTTATGTCAGAACATAAGAGGCAATGAGGAACACCAAAGGTTTTCTCTCCTTAAGAGGCAGTACCAACCGGCTCTGTCTGACCACTGGGACCTAATGATTATACCATTGTGCCATTGACTGCCCCTTTGTGGTATCTGGTCTAGTCAATACTGGTTAATACTACATGGGAAGAGCTTTGAGTTCATTGTGTGAGAGGTGCTTGCTCTTGCTCTTTCTAGGTGACTCTGTGCTACCCTGTTTGCTTCTCAGGTGGAATCTTGAGTCCGGTTCCCTTTACTGGGCTTATCTCTTTAGGTGACTCTGGTGATTCCTGCCTCAGTCCGTTCTAATCTTCTTTATCCCTTTCCCTCTTCCTTGTGCATTACAAAAATCAATTACCAATCAACCTATCCTCCCCATGTTCTTTACATTCCACCTTTTCTATGTTACGTTTATTTCTGAAATAGAAACGAACCCTGATCATAGCTGAAAATGGTGTCATCAGTATGTTGTTAATAGGCCACAGAAGGACATGGCCTTTTATTTCCAGAGTATTGTTTTTGATAAAGCAGATCTCAGCATGCAGAAACCATTGCATGTAATGAAATGGCAGGGTGCAGTAGAGGTCTAGAAGAGGAAAGGTGAGGGTAGATTGCTGACATCCATACAGACGAATGTTGAAGTTCTGAAGGACTAAATTGTTGGGGCCCACCAGAGTCATAGCCATGTGGGAAGTGTGGCTAATACGTGGCAGAAGGCCCCAGGGCGAGGTGGACACAGATGCTAACAGTGGACTTCTGTTTGTGCTTTGTCTTTCTGTCACAGACTCTCATAGGGATGGTCCGTTTTTCCCACCACAGATTGGTTTCACATTTAGTACATCACATAAATAGTATCACAGTTTCTCTATGCTTCTGGGCTTTCCCTGTACTCTGATTCTTCTGCTCAGTGTAAGACTCAGGCTTTATCCACACGGTTGTAGATGTCAGTAGTTTGTTCTTGTGTATTGATTAGTAGTGTTACATTTTAGTAACTGTTTGAAGGTTCCTTCAACGGTTTCCAAGAGGAGGAAGAGTTTGGCTATTAAGGGGTGTGGTAGTTTGAATAGGACTGGCCCACATAAGCTCGTAGATTTGAATGCTTGGCTACCAGGGAGTGGACTATCGGGAGGTGTGGCCTTGTTGGAGTAGGTGTGGCCTTGCTGGAGGAAGTGTGCCACTAGGGTGGGCTTTGAGGTTTCAGAAGCTCACGCCAGACCCAGTGTCGCTTTCTTCCTGCTGCCTGATGATCCAGATGTAGCGCTCTCGGCTCCTCCAGCATCATGTCTGCCTGTGTGCTGCCATGTTTCCGGCCATCATGATAATGAACTAAACCTCTGAATCTGTAAGCCAGCCCCAATGGAATGTTTTACTTTTTAAGAGTTTCTGTGGTCATAGTGTTTCTTCACAGCAATAGGAACCCCATCTAAGACGAGGGGGGTAGTGAAGATAGTTCTCTATTTTGTTAATAGGTCATGTATTCATTTTCCCATACAATAAGTAGGGAGTTCAGCCTAGAAGGACAAAGGACATAAATTTGTCGTATTGTACCCAAATCTAAAAAGCAGTTGAGGCTGGATTGGTCTTTTTAGTCTTTATTCTTGGATACATTGGGAATACACTTGAAAAGAAACTGTCTAAAATGTGATTGTTACCAGGGGTGGGGAAATACAGGGTGATTTAGAGATGGGAGTATGGGTCGTCATGCTGAGGGTGTTCTGAGGTTACTAGGTGCATTGTTTAGAGAGGGGGATGTGTGCAGAGTATGTACATGGCAAACAACTAGACTGCCAAGCTTAGTGATCGGAGTGTGTGTGCATACGTACATAACTCAGAACCAAGGGGTCTCACGGTATTACACTGTCTTCTATGAACTGCGTCACCATGAGATAACCTAAGTGCAACCTTCCATGTTTTCCTTCTGCTTTGCCCAGTGAGTCACACCTCCCCTTTATGCACATGTCTGTCTCTGAAGTCATCATGTACAAGTGAGGATACTGCAGTAGTACTGTGCTTGATGTCACTTCATGGTGTGTTAAATAACTCGAGTTGTGTGTTCATAGGAGCAGGGCAGTGTTGCAGGCACTGCTTGTCACAAGAAGCTGAACACATGCACTCCTTCATGGTGGTGAAAAAGTTGCTAGTATGCCCTGTGAGCCAGGTAGAAGAGGGATGTAGAATGTAGAGACTGGGCTCAGATTTTGGTAAATGTGTGCAGGACTTTCCTTGCTTAAGAGCATATGCAAAGATAGGTTTCTGCAATGGGTTTCTTCCTTTCCCTCCTCTTGTTCACCTGCTCTTTAGTCCTTCCTCATTTCTTGATCCCATTTGATTTTCTTTCTTGGACATAATTTGAATCTCTTTCCTTAAGCTTGTTAGTGTTTGTCCTTTTCCATTTCCATGACTGATGGCATGACCAAGTAATGTGGCCTTGATCTGTTATGACCCTTCTTCCAAGGGCCCATGTGTTTTGAAAGTCATGGTTTTCAGCTTGGCATTATTGAGAGGTAGTGGGCCCTATCAGAAGTGGTTCCTGTTTGGGGGGTGGGGTTCAGGTCATGGGGGGTGTGCCCTTAAAGGGTCTAGTGGGACCTCAGCTTACTCTGCATGTACCCTATAATGTATATTTATCACGCATCCAAAAGCACTGGGGTCAGCCTGCATAGGCAGAAACATTGAAAACTGAGTCATAGTTAGCCGTCCTTCCTTGTAAGTGTCTTCTGTGATGGAAAGCCAGCTGACACGGCCAGTGAGGCTGAGCCTTTGTCTTCTCGGCAGTGACCATGCGTGTATTTCCTCAGCCATCTTCTGACGCACCTTTGGCCGTTTCCTTAGAACCCACATCTCTTCTCCAGTCTCTGAGCTCTAGGTTTACTGCTCAGGCCTCATGACAGAGTGAGCTGTTCTCCAGTGCACGTGTCCTTAGTGAGTAGAACGTCACAGTACAAGGCATACCTCAGGAGTAGCCAGCCTAAAGACTTTTTTTTTTTGCCTCACATTGAAATGCAGCAATTAAACTAACCTTAAATCATTTCAGGGTGCATTGAGAATGGATATGTGAAGTTCATGGCGATAAGTTTAAAAAACAACAGAGAACACCTACCTCTTATTGGAAAAGTTGGCCTTGCATGGAGAACTAATGTTTTTGATGGCTTTATTGAGGTAAAAACAAAAGTTATTTTTTTCTTCAAGTAACTTATGTGTAATAAAAAAAGTCTGTTGTTGTGTTTATATAAACCTCCCTTAAAAGTATTCTGGTTTCTATAGATTTGTGAATTCTTTTAGCAGAATGAGATCTTCATCAAGTATTTATTTAATGTTTTGTATTAGTTACTGTTCTATTGCTGTGAAGAGACACCATGACCAAGGCAGCTCGGAAGCATTTGACGGGGGGCTTGTCTGGTTTTAGACGGTTGGTCCATGATCATCGTGGTGGGAAGCAGACAGGCGTGGCACTGGTACAGTAGCTGAGAGCTTACATCCTGATCCACAGGCAGAGAGAGACAGACAGAGACACTAGGTCTGGTGTAGGCTTTTGAAACCTTAATGCCTACCCCCAGTTCATGTCTCCTCCAACAAGGCCACACCTCCTAATCCTTCCCAACCAGTTCTATTAACTGGGGACCAAGCATTCAAACATATGAGCCTCTGGGGGCCATTCTCATTCAAACCACCACAGCTATCTTTGCTGTCCATGGAGTGTATAGGAGTAGAATGGGTAGGTGGACTGTAGCTGTGTTTGAATAGCTTTGACTGTACCCTCTGTTCCCTACACACTCAGTCAGTCTGTCCAGTGGAGAGAGGAAGGAGCTGAAGGTTGGCCAGGCAAGTAGCAGTTGCTGGAAACATTTTCACCCTTTTGAAGACTGTGCAGTTTTGAGTTCCTGTGCTAGTTTCCAGGATCTTGAGCAGCTAAATAAAAGTAACCAAATGGTGGGGAGAGTTGGGTTAGTGTTGGGGGTTGTCAGGAAGAGGGGGAGGAAATTAGAGGTCTCCCATGGTTCCATTCTCTTGTGTGACTGTGTGCCCATGGTTACTCCTGGTTCTCTTTACTGAATGGTGTGAGTGGAATCTGGGAGTCATAGATTGGCTGTGACTGCAGACAGCCTCTGCACTGCACTTTGCACTTTGCAAAGACATTTTGCACTTTGGTAGACATCTGGGCAGGACGGTAATGACACTGACCAAGACCATCTGGGATTTGTTATTTATCCTGTTTATCTGTGAGCACATGTTAAACCTTGGTACAAATTGTGTGTGTGTCACATATAAAAGATTGTTTCATATATTTGAGTACAGATGTGACCTTTTGTTTTTCTGTGATAGACTGAAATGGCCATGACGTAAAAACACATTAAAATAAAATATTAACGTTAAAAATAGATCTTGAGGACCAAGAAAGGCAGAATATAAATATGGCAAGCTTAAAGGGTCAGGGTAATTTTAAAGTTATTTAATTCCATTTTCTCTTCACAACAAGATCAAAGCAGGTGTTTAGTTCTCTGGGGTTAAAAAGGGAAGTATGGTAATTCTACCGAGACAAAGCTTTAGCCTAGCTCTGGGGTTGGAAACAAAGCCTCCCTGGAACTGCATGTAAGGAAGACTCAACCCTTAGAGTCCTCTATCAGCAAGTCTGCGGGACTCCCACAGCATTTCTCACAGAGGCTGCACTAACAGCTGCAGAACCTGGCCCTCCAGCAAGCTCAGGGCACTGTTTCTAGAGGCGGGATTCTGAGTCTTTGAAGTAGTGGTGGATGGCCCTGGACAGTTTCTCCAATGATACCTTTTCTCACAGGGAAGAGTTTGTTGTCTCCTGAGTTGGAGGTTGGGTGGATGTGGATATACCACTTATGTTTGGAGCCAGTATTATGTGTTATGGCTAATTTATCCTTGGAGTTCCCAAAGACAGTATCCAAGTGAGGGACACCGTGTTCCATGTGTGCTGTATAGCTCAGGGATTTCCCTCCAGGAATCTGACCACCCTAAGCACAGTGAACAGTAAAAATGCAGTTTAAGAAGTTGACTTTAGGGGATTTGATTTCCTTGTTGTGTTTGTTTAAAGGAAGAATGTAAAGGACAAAAAGACTTTGGCTGGGTGTGCTTGTTCACACCTTTACCTCACACTAGAGGACTAAGGCAGGTGTAACAGCCAGTGCAGGCTAGCCTGGGCTACAGAGGAAGGCTCTGCCTGAAAAATAAGGTAATTCTTAGACACATACGACTATTAAAAATAGAAATAAAAGATAATCTCTTTGGCCTGGGAATTGTAGATATAACTTTCTAATGTATAAGATGACAAGGCATAAAGGAAAAACCAAAAGAAGACATAAGGAAAGGATTGTCAAAAGAAATCTATAAATGAGAGATTCTGACAGGGATAGAGACAGACAGATTAGGGAGTATGTCACCGAGAATGATACTGAACCCCTCAGGCAACTCGACACAGACCTAGTTGTGCACACACTGCACAGGAAGCGCAGTGCCTGACCCTAGAGCATGGTCTTGTGCGGGTCACATGACATTTAGTCACTGCAATCATCTGTAACTTGTTTCTACCACCATCTTCTTATAAAGAGGAAAACTGATCTACGACCTGCAAGTTGAACATCCAACACAGAGATGTGTGAGCTCCTGGCCTGGCTCGGGATGCTCCCCACTGCATCGTTACCAAGCCAGCAAGTGTTAGCTCCCTGCATTCCCGAGCTCTAGTAAACCAGTACTTTCTCAGGGGAGCCACGAAGCCCAGACCATCAGAGACCTCTGTCAAGCTCACACGTCACTTCAAAGAAAGCAGCGTAACAAATCATTGTTTTGTTCTTTTAACAGAACCAGATTTAGGTGACACACTTCATCAGCATTTACCCAGGGGGTGTTTTATACATTAGAAGGCTGTGTCTACAATTCACAAGCAAAAGAGTTTCTTTTATTTCTATTTTTAATAGGTATATGTGACTACAAATTATCTTTTTTTTTTTTTTTTTTCTTCCACACCGAGCCCGGGTTTAGAAATCTGCAGTAAAGCTTGGCATCAGTTTGCATTTAATCCAGACCAGGCAGGGTCAGTGGTGGGTTGCAGTGGATGGTGAGGGCAAGAGGAAGTCGGGTGGCACCAAACCAGACAGCTGATAGCCAGTGATGCCGCCACAGCACCCAAGCTAGGTGCAGCTTTACTGGGATGATCATGGGTTTGAAGAAATTACACCAAACTTGATTGACCTTTGGGTCATCCAAGTTGTTGAGCAAAAACTTGTATATTTAATTCTTGAATCTGAAAGAGGTTCAGCTTGGAGGTAGACTTTGGAAACCATGGGCACCTTGATTATTGTGAGTTGTGGATGTAGACCGATTCCATCTAGAGAGAGAGAGTGATTATATATAATAAAACCAGTGCTTTGTCAAGCCGTGGGGACCTCTAGTAGTAGGCCTGGTGGAAGCCATGGGTGGTTCTGGAAGTGCTGGGAAGGTGGTATTTGAAACCAAGAATGATAAGCAGTGCTCAGCCTGCCCAGGTGGAGACTGAACAGATGTTCACTGTGTTTGGAGACCTTAGGAGGAGGTGGGTCAGAGTGGGTTGGAGTGTGAGCAGGAGGTAAGGCTTTGGACAGGGAAGATAGATTTGTCTGCAAAGAGAGAGAGCAAGGGGCGCCATGGCTCTGGGAGGTTTGTTTCTCTCTGTGTGTCTGTCCATTTGTCCTCTCCCCTCCTCCTGGTCCCCTCTTCCAGGGTCACTTGAACATGTCTGAACGTTAAAAGCTGGTGAAAGAGAGATAGCGCTCACTTGTGTCAGAGGCTACCTCCTTGTTGGTGGACCATCCCAACCACTGCTAAAAGCACACTGAACACAGATGTGCATAAGGAGGAGGTGATGTGGACATAGTTGTGTGTAAGATAGGAAGGTGCTCTTCTCACATCTCTCTGGCAAGAGGACATGATGTGCAGGGGCACCCTGTGAATAGGGCACAGAGGTTCAGAGGAGAGGGTGCAGTATGCCAGTTCTGGGAGAAGAAAGGCTGTGTAATGCACAGTAGACTCAAAAGACAGAATTCTGAGCGTGATCATGGCTACCTGGGGATGCCCATCTGTGGCTCTGCTGCTGTGCTGGGCAGTCAGATCCAGACACACATGAGACACTTTGACTCAGCCACAGCTGGGTTTTAGTCGATCTGGGGCCAGGTGAGATAAAGCATTGAGGAAGAGATCATCCAGTGAAGAGCAGTGAAATGGACGTGATTGAGGTGAGGAGGCCCAAGGAGAGGTAGAGGACTGGTAGGTTAGGGGTCATGGGCCATGATTCTTCCCAAACCTTTTCTCACACACAAGCACACATGTGTTATATGTTACGTGTATGTTACCTACACGGAATTTACTAAGATAGTGCTGTGTGTAGTTTCTTTTAACACATAGTTGTGCCTCACAGCGTGTAATTCAGGATGCACTAGTAGTGCATCACAGGGACAAAATTCTGGTGAACCTGTCATCTGGTGACGGGCTGGGAACCAGGAGTAGCTGAGTAAGGAGGAGGGTGGAGAGACAAGCGGGAAGCCGGGCCTGCAGTGCTGGTTCTGGAAGTGCCGCACTCACGGGAGGCGCAGTGTCTGGAGTCAGAGAGTGGGGATGAATAACTGAGGTGAGGAATGGATCCTAGGAGTCTGTCCTTGGTCCACTAGCAGTGGGGGTCTCTGAGGAGATGGTGAGACTTGAAAGAGAGAGAATGAGAGGGAGACACGGGTGGATGGGGAGCCTAGTGCCAGTCACGGTGTAAACAGAAGATGGTGGACAACGAAGAAAAGAAACCTGAGGCCGGAAGTTCAGAGCCTCAAGGAAACAGGTCAGGAGAGCGGAAGACAACAGTCTGCTGGAGCATTGAGAAGCTGCTGTCCAGGGCAGGGTGCCATCCTCTTGGAAGCAGTGGCACGGGCCTCTCATTTTCTGCAGACCTTTGCCTTTAGACAGGCTCCGGCACTAACTTGCCCACACTGACAGCTTTGTGCACACACATGGATGAGGTCGTCTGCTGAGGAAGTCTGGTAAGCACTAGCTGGGTTTTAGATAAAAAGTAGGTCCTGTGGTGTGTATGAGAGGACTTTGGAGTTGGATGCCACAAGCAGCATTTCCAGTCGGTTTTACAGAGTCACAATTCCTGTGAAAATGAGCATTTTATCCTGACACTTGTTAATCTTAATTACAGAGGTGCTCTGTAGTGGATGTGACCCTTCTGGATGAGCACAGGAAGCCCTTTTGGTGTGTGAGTTCTCCAGTGTGCATGAGATCTGCCGCCTACCCCTCTGACGGTCCCAACTTCCTGGGGCACACTTACTGTGTGGACTACATGGACACCGAAGGAGGAGTGCATGCAGAGCTGGTCTGGATCGAAGAGACGGAGGAGTACTTTCTCATCAGCCTGGCCCTGTACCTCAGCGTAGCAAAAATAAACCACTGGTTTGGGACAAAATACTGAGGTTTAGCAGTAGGTGGGAAAGTCTTGTTACTAGTAAGCTGTTTGTTTTTTACAACTTTGTTCTTATTAAAAGTTAAAGTGTATCCGTGGCAGGCTGTCTAGTGCCTTCTTATTTTCCATTAGGAACTATGGTTTGTGAGTAAAGTTAGTGTTTGGAAGATTAAAATTTCAATAGCACATGCCCCAGGTAAAGATGCATGTAAGACAAGAACAAACAGAATACCTGGAAGTCTTCCTAAACATATGGTCGTGCGGTTTGTGTGAGTGTGTGCGATAACAGGAAAGAGCAAGTGTGACCTCAGATTGGGGCTCAGGCTAGGAGATGCCTAAGGGGCAGCTGTGGGAGTGGAAGGGGGACTGTAGACTAGACATAGTCTTACCAGTACCACTTCCTGGTTCTGGAACCAAATTCCATGAAGCAGCATCTAGAGGAGCTGAGTGAAGAGCAAATAGGGAATCTTTGCCATACTTTTGCAACTTAAAAACATATGTGATTATTCCAAGATGAAAAGTAAACAATATGCTTGGGGATTTAGCTCAGTGGTAAAGTGCTTGCCTAGCAAGCGCAAGGCCCTGGGTTCGATCCTCAGCTCCAAAAAAAGAAAGAAAGAAAGAGAGAGAGAGAGAGAGAGAGAGAGAGAGAGAGAGAGAGAGAGAGAGAGAGAGAAAGAAAGAAAGAAAGAAAGAAAGAAAGAAAGAAAGAAAGAAAGAAAAAGAAAGAAAAGTTAACAATGAACGCTAACACTTGCACTCTGCCTCCTGTCTCTCCCTCCTGTCCTGTCTTAGTGACTTGGGTTCACTCTGGCTGCTCGCCTTGACCATGGCTTCCTCACTAGAGCTTTGCTCTCGGCCGTTAGTGGCCGACCAGAGCTATGCTGAGGAAACACAGCTACGGTCAGCTGGCCACACCATGGCACTGGGGCAGTGCCCTGCCTGGGTGTCAGCTGAGCATTACAGAGTATTGGAGACACCTGAGTATCCCATGTGACACGGGAGGTCTCTGGGCTTCCACTCCCTTCATGAGACATTGTCGTGCACAGCCCTGGACTCAGGGTCCAGAGATCATCCAACGTTTGCTGTGGCTACTGTCTGGGGAGAGAGAAACCCAAACCTGGTCTCCCTGGCCTGGGAAGGGATCAGCATGTTCCGACAGACCCAACTTAACCCTTGGGCATTTTGCTTTGTTTGTTACATTGTATATGGGATATATTTGTTTTTACATATGACTATTACATGTGAATATAATCATAGGAATATAATAAAAGAGTATGTTTTTCCTCTAATATTCTTTCTGCCTCTAGCCAATGAGCTCTCTGGCACACTTGCTTGGTCTTATCATATGATGCCCTCTTTGATGTCAGGATATGGTGTGGGACCATCTCCATGCTGACTATAACCTCTGAGCAAATTAGTCTTTTCTTATATATTACCCAGTCTTTGGGTATTTTGTTATAGTGACAAATGTGCTAAGACACCATGTGATTATTATATGTATTGAAATTAAGTTTTCATGTACACGGAAAAAAAAGCATTTCATAATCATACTCCTTTGTCAAGAAGAAAGCCCTTTGTTTGCAAAGCAATAGGATTGATTACGGTGGGGCATCTCGGAAAACAGCTCCACAAAGCAGGGCTCATTAAGTTGAATCAATTCAAGAAAAGAAACAGGTGCAAACTCTTAATTATTCAGTTGGCAAAGAAAACAAGTTTGAGTTACACACCAGAATAGTATATCTATCCCTAGTGGGGGATAAAAGGTGTTTAAAGTGTGCTCAGTTGCAAAATATTGTCCAACTTAAAATCCGGTCAAAGGTCTGATGACCTTTTGCCAAGAGATTTATATAAGCAACCTGATAGTTGTCTCTTATTTTTAATAAGGTCTGCTTATAAACCTGATAATTACAAATGCTCAAGAAGCAAAGTGCTTAAATGGAGAAGTCTGCGAAGTATTTCCCTGATGCCTGTAAAGGAATTGTTCCTTCAACAAGCTGGTCTGGAGACAACAGTGCATTTGGGTATTGGGAAACATTATTTGGTCTCTAGCCTGGAGAGCCTTCTCAGGTTTCCCATGACTTTGAGGAATATCACTTGGACTTTTTAGCTGTAGTAGACATGACTGAGATTGCTGTTGGATAGGTGTGAGCTGCAGAAGCCACAGGTACTACCCAGCAGGTTACTAGAAGGGTCAGGCCAGAGGCTAGAAGGGCAAGCAGTAGGGTACCTAGGAAATGAGCTGTCCAGAAGAATGTAACAGCAGAGCCCTGAGTAGTGGACCCCATGTGTCCACAATAGCTGAAGCACAGAGCCAAGACTAGGCTGGTCAGGGGCAAAACAGGCTGAAGGCAGGCTGCAAATGAGCAGGCCCTGGGTCAGTCAGCAATTGGTGTCAGGCCCAGATTTCAGCTGGGCAGCACAGCGCCCCTTCCAATCTGGAAGTCACGGGTAGAGGAGAGTGCACGGGCAGGGGATGTGCGGATGCTGAAGAGATGCCTGTGGGGTCAGCCTAGAGCGCTGCATGGTGAGGTCAGGTCCTTGGCCCATCCATCCAGGGCCTTGCTCACTGTTTGCTTTACCTTCTGGTTTCTAGCTGATTATGAAAAGGACTCTGAATTTTCCCAAAGGCCAGCATGTGTTTACTCATTGACATATGTGCTTGCCATAGTGAAATGAGATACACTCATCTCTATGGATCTAATTATGAAAAGTGCTCTCAGAAGTAAGATAAAACACAGGTGATTTCTCACTGACAAGATTGGCTGGGGAGGAAGTGAAAATTTCACCATGAAATAATAGTAGCTTTCTGTTTTAATAATTGAGAGCTTATTGAGTGCCAGGCACTATATGGAGTAGAATTACAGCTTTAAAGCTCTCCCTAAACTTTATGGGTAAATGGCATAGTAATGATATTTCACCACAAGTTGCTGAGCTGGAAACTTCAATAACCAGAGGAGAAGAGCACATCTGGTGAGAGCTGGGATCTCCCTGGTCCTGAAACCTAGGTCTGATCACTAAACCGTACTTCCTGTCTGCTCTGGTGCTGGGGACCAAAGATCTATCATGAACATGGACCATGCAAGGAACCCTGAGTACATAGGGATGTGGCAGAGTGCTGAAAGTGTCATAAAGCTAATTCAGTACTAAACTTGTAAAAAGAATTGTGTCGTACAAAACTGATGTCCACTAACACAGAACTGAGAACACCCAAGTAAAACTGATGTCCACTAAC